CTTTCTTTCTTTCTTTCTTTCTTTCTTTCTTTCTTTCTTTCTTTCTTTCTTCCTTTCTTTCTTTCTCCACACCCTGTGGTTGAACTCATTGGTGGAAGTGGTCTTCACTGGCCCCATTTTTCTCTCTCCACAGCATCTCAGAGATTCTGGACAAAGTCCAGGAGGATGCAGAGGATGTGCTCTTCAGCCTGGGCTTTGCTCAAGACAATCACAGAGCCACAGCTCGGATTCCTGCCCGCTTCTTCACCACCCCCTCCCAGGCAAAGGGCATTGACTTTCAGGTGTTCCTGAAGGCTCAGGTGCGAAGGATAGAGATGGAGGACCCCTGCTTGATGCTGGCCAGTAAGTGTCATTGTTGGTCAGTCTATCCCACTCTCCCCCTCAAAACCCCAGGGCTGAATGCTCTAAGCCTCAGGCAATCTCCTCTTGGCCATACATTCCAGTGTCTCTAATCTGGATTCCTGAAGGTCTAATTATGATCTAGGATTTAATGCAAAATCTTATTTTATTGATAAGGAAAGTGAAGGGGGGAGGTGATATGACTTGGCTAAGGTCATACAGGTAGTAAGTCGCAGGGATTTGAATCTAGCTCTTCTTACTCTAAATCCTGTGCATTGTTCCATTATACCATGGCAGTCTTTCTGATGTAATTTAGGTCCATTTCCTCTGAATTAGGATCAGGGAAGCCAGACCAGTGGTTATAGGCTGGCAGTGGTTACAGCAATTGGAGGCAGCTGAATAGCATAGTGGATAGAACACTGGGTTTAGCCTCAGAGGGTAGAACTTGGAGCAGCTAACAAAAGTTACAAAGAAGTAAACCTCAACTCCAAAAAGAAAATTTCTCTAACAAGCAAAGCTGTTTAAAAGTATAATGGACTCCCTCAGGAAGGAATGAGTGCCCCATTACTAGAGATCTTCAAGCAGGGGGTTGAACAACTGCTTGGTGGGGTCTTTGTAGAGGAGATTGTTCTGGGGACCCTGACAACTCTGAGATTCTCTGAATCCCCAATCCAGTCAGTAAAGCTGGTCAGGAGACTCTTCCTTTGCTTCTGATCAATCCTGGAAAGTTTTCAAGGGGATTTTAGAGGTTCTGAAAGTTCCCAGGATTCTCCAGAGGTTTCCAAGGGGATCCCAGAAATTGCTGATGGTTCATCACCATGTTCACATCCTTCCTGTGCTCTGCCCACAGGTCGGTTTAAGCAGGTGCAAACATTGGCCACCACTGCAGATGCCTTTTTCTGCCTCTACTCCTATGTGTCCAAGACTCCTGTCCAAAAGTTCATGCCATCTCAATTGTTCTGGCCCAGTGCTGCCGATGCACCCCTCATCCGGGTCCTTCCCCCAGAACCCGAGGCCCGATCCCCTGTGGAACGCCTTCGGAGAGCGGTATCCAAGATGTGCCTGTATACGGCCCCTCGGGATGAACCATCTGCTCCCTGTGCTTCAGCTAAACGAAATAGTCTAGATCAAGTGGTATGGGAGGTGATGGACAGGGTGAGAGAAGATAGACTTGCTCTCCAGGTGGGTTCAGGTAGAAAGACTACCCCAGAACTCTACTCCAGAGCAGAGGCCAAGTGGGGAATTCCAACACCTCTTCAAACTGAGAAACTTATCACTAAGGCCTCCTACTGCAAAGATATAAGGAAGACAGAACCTGTGGACAATGGGGATCTGGAAGAAGAGAGAGACACTAAATGGGGTAACACCTATTTTGCCAACCAGCCCCCTGCAGTGTCCACTCTACATATTTGGAAGACATCTACTCCACAGACCTTTCACTGCACAGATACTGAGATGGCAAAGCCACAGACCAGAGGGGATTTGGAGTGGAGAACAGAAGCAAAGGAACAGATTACTTGGGACAGAGAAAGAGAACTATGGGTGCAGAAAGACAAAGAAGAGACATATTTAAGCAAGGAGCAGGATTCCAACAGTTCTCTGGACCCTTGCAGGAGCCAGAGGAATCCTGGAAGCATAAGAGGGCAAGCAAGAAGGCGGCTGTTCCAGAGAAACTACCAAGGTATCAAGGGGAGGCGAGCCAGCCCCTTAGAACAGGCTACCACTGAGGAAGAGTTAAGGAAGAGCTCAGTGGGATCAGCTTGGCTCCACAGCATACCCCAGAGGTTCACTGAACAGCAGCAGGACTCCTTGGATTTGGAGGAGGTGAGTGGAGAATTCTGGAAAAAAAAGGGATGTGGGTCCTTGCCTTAGCGCTGAGGGGTCGGGTTGTTCAGTAAGATGGCAGAAAGGGACCCTAATTATATAAAAGGCAAAAGAGAGCCAGATTGTCCCCTCTCTGAGAATCCTAACCCTTACAAGCAACCTAAGTAGACCCGTGTCCTGAACCCCTTGGGACACATCTAGTTGGAAGAAATCCATGTTTTGGCCTATAAGAAGCTTCCTGAGACTTTGGACAGGTTGTGGAATTTCTAACTTCATTTCTGTCTCTATATAGAACTATCGGTTCTAGGATTCTGCATCCAAAAAAGTGCCCAATCTGTTGACTCTAAGGTCAGCCATGCTATATGCATATGGTTTTAAATGAACTTCATGTTTCAAAAAAAAAAAATAAAGGCCATAAACCTGCATCCCATTATCAGAGTTCCCTGTCCCATGGCAAGTAAGTTCAGACTTTCTGGATGGGCTAGGTAAGAGCTCTTAGGCTCCCTATGGCATTGTACCCCAGGGCCAATCTTACCCATTGCAGCTCCCAATAGGGTTTTTCATGTTTTCTGGCAACAGGTACTTAGCAACAGTGATGAAGAAGGGAACAACTGGACCAGTGAACCTGAGTGTCCCTGTTCACTATCCCTTGGCACCTCTGGATGGAAGCCCAGGAGTAAGTATTCCTCAGTAGAAATATTCTGATCCCTGGGATTCCCTAGATTGAGAGAGCCATGGGGACTAACCCCCTTGAAACCTCAGGCTCTTTTGATGAACCAACACTTGGGGAACCATAGGAAACTTCCATACTTTGGAATCATGCCTTTGATATCCTCTGATACCATCACTCAAGGCTTAGGCCTCTTTCTTGAGACTATAGCCTTGAGGACACCCCTGCCTCCTCTCCCATAATTCTTCCATCTTGAACTAGCTCCTCAAGCTGGGTGCCCTTAGAACAATAAAAGCTACCTCATCACAGGGATGAGAATCGATTAGGACACACATTCCTTATAGGTGGCAATAGCAGACATAGAAAGTAGAAACTGTCTAGTTTAGAAGCTTGGTATCCATTCAAGCTACCTTTGATGTGGATGTCTCTGTCTACCTTCAACCTAGTTTCTTCTTTCTATAGTTCCCTATGAAGTCTCTATGCTCTACCCAATTGTCCCCACCTCCTACTCATAGCCCAGGCTGAAATGCCTCAATGTTCCCATCCTGGCTACCAAGGAAGCAATAGTCTGCCTTCCCAATTCCTTCTCCAACTTAGGCAGACAGGTGCTCCCCAAGCTATGCTATATAATCATAGAATCTCTGAGCTGGAAGGGACCTTAGGGAACATTACTTCAATTCAATCCAAGCAATACTGGTATCTAGAGCATACTAACAAGTCATCATCCAGAATCCATTTGAAGATAACCAATGATGTGGAGCCTACTTCTCCTAAGGCTCATTCCACTTGTAAATCACTCCAACATAAAAAGTCTTTGTTTAAATTAAGCCAAAATTTGCCTCCATACAACTTCTACTTACTGATCCATATTCTATTCTCTGAAAATAGGTAAGTGTATTCTCTCTTCCATGTGACAATATTCCAAGCATTTAAAAAAAATTTATATTAACCTCTCTGTGCCTCAGTTTCTTCACCTGAGAAGTGAGAGAAGTGGACTAGATGTTTACTCTCCCTTCCAACTCTAAATCTAGTTCCTATGATCACATCCCCTCTAAGTCTTTTCTTCAAGATAAACATCTTTCAATTTAACCAATCTTCCTATGCCATGGTTTTGTGACCTTTCACCAACTTAGCTACCCTTCTTTAAATGTACTCAAATTTGTCACTATTCCTTCTAAGACAAAGGGTCCTGAACTGGGCCAGATATGTTCTGACTACAGCAAAAAAAAAATGTACCTCTCACTCTGGACAGCCTACCTCTGTTAATGCATTTTAAGGTGCATTAGCTTTTTGGGGTGGTAGGTCATACCGTTGACTTGTGTTGCACTGGGAGTTCACTTAGATGACCCTGGAATGTTAGGAGGTTTTTGCTATAATTATCATCAAGCCAGGCCAGCCTTCTTCATCCTGTATTCACGGGGTGAGTCTTTTGAACCCAAGTTCAGGATTTAGATTTGTCCATGTGAGAAGTTCATCCTGACTCTCTCAATGACAGATCTCTTTTAGTCCTGGGCTTCAACTCTCAATTCTCTCTTCTTTCATTCACTTTCCTTTGCCTCCTACCTCTGAGTTATTTCCATCTTTCTTTTATCTAGGACCTGGAACCCCTTCAGTCTAAGCTGTCCAATCCCTTGCTTTTACCCATTATCCATCTATTCTCTCTAGTCATCATTAACAATGAGTTGTTCATTTACATAGAGGGTAAAAGTTTGCACCAGAGAAATCCAAACTGATACCTACTATGGAAGATTTTCTACCATGTAACTCACTTTTTGTAAATCTCTATACTTTAGGGGAAGGGTGTGAAAGTAGGGTATTCTCAGTGGTAGCAGTTAGTCTGAAACAGCAAATTATCATCACCTTCTTTCTATGTTACTTTGGGATAGAAAGAAAGAAACAAGGTAAGAAAGAAAGAAAGAATGAAAGAAAGAGAGAGAGAGAGAGAAAGGAGGAAAGGAGGAAAGAAAGAAAAAGAAAGGAAGGAAAGAAGGAAGGGAGGGAGGGGGGAGAAAGGAAGGGAGGGAGGGGGGAGAAAGGAAGGAAAGAAGAAAGAAAGATGAAAATAATTTGCTGTTTTGGGCTATCTATATAAATCACAAGCCCGTCCAGATCTATCTATTCATATCTATGTAGAGATAAATAGATAGATAGATGGATAGATAGATAGATAGATAGATAGATAGATAGATAGATAGATAGATA